GGGTCTCCCAGCTTCTTAGGCACTATCTCCTTATGAATAACTCCACTACACTCTTCACTTAGTACAAGTACCTCTTTGCTTTCTTTGTTCTTCTTCACAAGGGTGTCCTTGAAAAACTTGGCGCACTTGGGCATCATAGCGAGACAGTCTACAAGAGGCAGCTTAATCTCCACGTCTCTCAGGTGCTTCTCAAAAAGGATCCGATGCTTCTCTATTAGCTGCTTTTTGAAACGACCGGGGAATGGAAACTTCGGTACGAAAGGTGGGGGCACGTAAGAGTTCTTCTCCTTGGTGGTCTGTTCAGCTTTCTTCTCGGCTACCGCCTTATCTCCTCTCCTCGGCCCTTGGATCCAAACGTTGTCAAATTTTATCTCATCATCATCAGCCAAAGGTTTACCCTCCCCCTCTTGAATTACAACGTCCTCGTTGTTCGTGGTAGAGACCGGAGATTCGAGCTCTTTGCCGCTTCTCAACGTTATAGCATTGGCATATTCCTTGGGATTTTGCTCACAATTTCCCGGAAGACTGTTCTGACCACTCGTGCTTGCTTTTCCCTTCTCCAGCTGCTTGATCTTGTTGTTTTGGTTGGTGATTTGAGTGGAGAAGTCGGTTAGAGATGAATCTAGACGAGTGTTCATTTCAGCGAACTTCTGGTTGGTTGAAGCTTGCCCTTGTATTAGCTGTTGAAACATTGCTTGAACCGGATCAACTTGTTGTTGCATCGGTTGTTGTTGATGTGGTGTAAAGCCCGGAGGGTAGTTAGGTAACCCTTGTTGTGTTGTTGTTGCCCTTGGAAGTTGCTTTGCCCTTGACCTTGGAAACCACCACTCGGTTGAAAACCTTTGTTGTAAGGGATGAAAGGTTTAGCTTGTTGAGCAGGGTACACTTGATCTTTAGGGTTGGCTACATTGGTGCTTCGGTAAGAGAGGTTGTTGTTCTGGTAGCCTTGGTTGTAGCCTTGAGACTTGTAGTTGTACTGTCCGGCTACCCAATTTGCTTCTTCTTGGCTTAGCTCTAACTCCTCTTGGTTTTCATCAGCTTCACCAACAAAGTGAACATGCTTCTGATTAGCTAATACCAACTTGTCAATCTTCTCATGCAACGATTTGAGCTCCTTCTTGTGAGACTCTAACTCTGATCATCTCGGTGCTCGGTCATAATCCTCGGCATAGTTTCCATCACTCAACGCCAGGTTTTCTATCAGCTCCATACCCTCTTCTACCTCTTGACCGAGGAAGTTCCCTTTGCTAGCTGTATCAAGCAACAACCTGATCTTTGGTGAAGCTCCACGGTATATGGTACTGAGTAGTGTCTCCTCGCTGAACCCGTGATGAGGATATTGGATTGTGTAATCTTTGAAACGCTCCATTGCCTCGTTGAATGTCTCGTTGTTCCTTTGAGTGAAACCACTGATTTCGCTTCTCAACCGAGCTGTCCTGGTGCTTGAGAAGAACTTTGAGAGAAATGCCTTCTTACACTCAGCCCATGATGTGATGGTGCCATGTGGGAGGGTCTTCTCCCAATGTCTAGCTTTGTCTCCGAGTAAAAAAGGGAAGAGACGCAGCTTGAAAGCATCTTCGGATATGCCATTGATCTTGATCATCCCACATATTTGCTCGAAATTGTCCAAGTGCTCCAAGGGGTCTTCCATTGCTAAGCCGTGGAACTTGTTGTTTTGCACCATGGAGATGAAACCTGGCTTGATTTCGAAGTTATTGTTTTGTACCGGAGAAGGAGTGATCCCAAACCTATTGTGGTGGGTATTGGGAGCATCTCCGGCTCCTATGATCCTCGGTGGTCTAGCCGCGTGTTGGGGGTTTCCATTGCCCCGTCCTGCTGGAGGAGGTCCTTCTGGATGCTCGTGTTCAGCCATAGCTTCAAAGTCAACCAAACTGTGCTGAACAATCTCCTCAAAGGCTCTTGTTTGCTCCCTGACTCTCCTTTGCCGTGAGTGATCAAGTTGATGAATGTTGTCTAAGGGTTGTAGAAGATTATTGTCTCCCCGTGAACGAAGATTCATGTACCTGAAAACACACGTTTGAGAGTAGAAGTATTAGTAACTTGAAAAAGGTAAAAACTTAGTCTTTGCTAAGATCCAAATCTCTATGTTCTCTAAACACTCCTAGAATGGCAACGGCGCCATTTGATAAACGATTTCTTATGCTCGTGTTATGCAGCAGAGAGGTTATCAAAACTCTAATGCACGCAATGTTGTAGTAAGGCAAGCAGGAGAGTGTCAATCCACTTCTAGGAGATAGAGAATGCACAGAGAATGCAAGGTCCTAAGTAAATCTAAGCAAAAATGAGACAGTTTATGGGAAAATATCAAAGAACTAGATGCAGCAACCTAAACAGAGTGAAACCTATTTTAAAAATACTAGAAAGGAAGCAACTACCACGAGAAACAAACAAATTAATTAAAGGAAAGAGCTTCGAATTGTTAAAATTCGACTAGTGGATCGACCACTAGATCGAGTAGTAACGATCGATCTCGTCTAAAACCGTAAGAACAACAAATCTAATGACCAGGATGTTATCAGATAACAAGTGAAAGATGAAATGAGACTTAAAGATTCTAAAAGAAAGGGCCTAGGGTTGAGATTCATGTAAAGGGTTTCAAAGGATCGATCTTGGGTTTGAAACTTAGATCGACTCACTTGGTGAGGATCTCTAAGCCTTGAAAACAAAACAAGATCTATCTGTGGCTTTCGGTATAGATCACTCTTTCATCCTCTCCTCCAAACCCATGGCTTTTGGTGGAAAGAGAGGTCGAAAGGCAAGGAAAACAGATTTCAAGTAATGGCTTAACTAGTCCCCCAAACTTCCATGGCTTTTGGGAAGGGGTAACTAGTCTCTAAGGTGTGATCCTCCGAGGCTCCTGGATCCTGTCAAGGTAAGGAACCTCTCGGATCATGAAGCTCTTGGCGTGAGAGTCTTCAAGCATTAAGCTTTCAACACCTTAGAAGAGATAGCCTTTAAAACGTTTAGAAAACAAACCCAGATCGAACCTTTTCTACCCCTTAATCCTCTCAACCCTGAACCCAAAGTAAACTAATCGCTACACATAGAGTAAATCAAGCAAAGCAGAAGAAACAAGATGATAAACATGAAAGAAAAACTGGATTAAACGATAAAGATTCGAATACAAAAGCTTCCAAGAAAAACGAGTTCAACAATGGTGTTCTTCGTTAAACGAGAGAGAAAACATGAAAGAAAGGATAAAGATCTAAAAGTTATTGAAAAAGCATCTCGCCGCCTTGCCTAAAATGCCCAAACAAGCCAATGGTCCCCCCTTCGCTAACAGCCAAAAACGGTTGAAAGGACAGAAATCGACCACTGGATCGAGTGGTTCTCTCGATCACATCTGGGCATCGTGTCTTCTGCTCGATCCGGGTCTCGATCTTCATCGGCGAATCGAGTGTTGCATCCGATCTCGGTATCGATCTTCGGGTGGATCGAGTGGTGTACTCGATCTGGCTCTCGCTCTGCATGGCGTCATTTACGTCCGTACCGATTGATCGATCGCTTCACTCGATCTCCGTCTCGATCATTCTCCTAGGATCGCCTAGTTGGCTCGATCAACTCCTATATCGACCGGCCATGCTCGATCTGCTCCTCGATCACTGGTCCTTAGCATATTTCCGAGCTCCCACGAACTGCTACATCAGCCTCCACACGCCCACGAACCTCCATGACTCCAAAGCAGCCAGAAACAACCTGAATGTGATGCAAAATGCAAGGAAAATGCATATGCTGATGCAAGAATGCTCTAGGACCCTAAGTGATGCAATCTAACCTAAAACATGATACAAATGCATGAAAAACTAACTAATGAGTATGCAAAATGTATGCAATATGCAATAACATCACTTATTGTTTTAAAAAAGAAAGCTCTAGTTTAAATAAGAAGGTAGCTCTCAAAAGAAAAGAAAAAGAAAAGAAAAAGAGCCAAAAGGCCAAATGTTTAAAAAGAAAAAAAAAAAAAATGAGTAGAGAGCTATCAAAATAAAAAGAAAAGAGCTAAATATGTTTTCAGATTTACCACTAGCCAAAAGAGTTTTAAAATGATGCTTTTATTTGGGTTTTTGCTAGGCGAATTGCCTTGATGATGAGGGTAGTCCTCAGGAGGGTGAGTGAGCTTAAAAAGAAAAGAAAAATGAGAGAGGGTTCTAGGATCATTGTTAGTATGTATGGGTAGATGAGAGTCTAGTCATGTATGCATCAATTGTCTTTACCTTTAGCATTATGCATAAGTTCGACCATTCTTTGAGATACCCCCTTGTTTGAATCACTCTTATAAATGAGATCATTCTTATCTCATAACCTTATCCCTAAGCCAAATGTATTCGGTTTTAAAGTGCATAAGTGTGATTTACGGTTTTGAGCTTAATGAATGTTAAAGGTTAGGATTCTTGGATTGTTTGGGATATGAGAGTCATGATTTGAGATTCAATATGTGATGAGTATGGCTAAGTTCTTTGGAGTATGAGTATGTGCATTTCATCTTAGGATTAAAAACTAGGACCATCGAATTGATTCATTTGAAAAACACTTTTGAAAAACCTCTCATCCCTTCTTGAACTTTGTTTGCTTGAGGGCAAGCAAAAGGCAAGTTTGGGGGAGTTGATATTACCATATATTTTGCATATTTTGCATGCATTTAGGATAGTTTTTCATGCATTCATCTTGCATTATAAGTTAGTTTGTTCCATTTGTTGCATTTTAGGTCCTATATCTTTTTGCATTCGCATTTTGCATATTTCTTGCACTTTTGCATCATTATCAGGTTGTTTGGAGCACTCTGGAGTTGTGGAGGTTATGTGGACGTGAGGAGGATCAAAACGAAGCTTGTGGACACTTGGAGAACCAAACCATGCATGCAAAAGACCCAAGATCGAGTAGCGGATCGAGCAAGGCAGGTCTAAAGAAAAATTCTATTCATGTCTCATAAAACATAATCCATTGTTCTAACAAGCAAGAAAGAAACATAAGTAGTTGATTTAGTCATGCTTCTTCAACCCAAAGTTTCCACTTGGGAATCGACTGAGAAAACCAGTATCAAGCTTCTTGTAGTGACTATGAAACTTCATGAGCAGAGAATCAACAAATCCATCGACTTCGTCTTCATATCTTTCATACAGAACAGGCAATGTGTGGGCCCCAACAAACCCTTTATACAGACAAACGATGCATCCCTTTAAAATGTCTTCTTATGTAAACTCAATTCCAAATCCTTACACTTATAAGAAATACTCACCACTATACAAAACAGTTAGGAAATTGCAACAGCTCCCGATTATTGCGGCTGCCCATAGTCCAATCGCAGCCTGAAAATGATGTTTATGCATATTGATCAAAGTTCTATGAACATTATCTAAGGACTGATTAACCCAAAGTGCTAATACATTCTGCAGATGATTCTCTTGCGCTCAATATGCGTCTCAAAGAAGCTAAAACGAGATTGCAGTGATCGAATGATTCTCTTGTCAATATGGAACAAGAAAATGCAGAAAATGAAATGGAAGCAAAAGGTTACGAACGATGAGAAACTGTTTCAAATTCCCTTTACAAGCTAAATCCTGAAGAAACAACAAACCACGGTTAACCTCTGTTCCAATGGTCACGCCCACGTCAGCAAAGAAATCCTTTGGAAGAATAAGGCGAGGCACTCTAGCCTGTGAGCTGTTATATGAGACATGAATAGAATTTTCTTTAGATTGCAATCATCACAAGTCGATTCAAGGGGAAGGATCGAGACCAAGATCGAGAGAGGAGATCGATTTGAAGTACGGCCGTAGATGATTCCATGCACAACGAGAGCCAGATCGAGACCATGACTCGATCATCCAAGGATCGAGTAGAAGATCGAAGGAAGTACTCGATCCATCCAACCATATCGACTAGGAGATCGAGCAGAAGAAGGTGATCCATGAAGAAGATCGAGTGAACTGATCGATCTCAAGGTCGATCCCTGGGACCTTAACCATTTTTTGAGCGTAGTGAGGGGACCATTAGGGCTGTTTGGCTATTTTGGGCAAAGGCGGCTATCCTTTTCGACACAACTTTTCTATTTTTCTGCTTTCTCTTAGGCGATTATCCGTCATTGTCGTTGTTCTTGAGTTTTTCATGTTTTGAACTTGAATCTTTTAATATTAAGGAGTTTTTCCTTAATCGCTCTTTAATCATGCTTAGTTCATCTTTTATTGCATTTCAATCGGGTTTAAACATGAGTAGCGAGTAGTTCTCTTTGGGTTAAGGGTTGATGCGATTCAAGGTTTAAGGGATTTTAGCTTTTGAGTTTTTCTTGTTCTTCATTTATTCCTTTCTAGGATTTTAGGATCTTAAGGCTTAAAGAGTCTTGGAAAAGATCTTTATGATTCCAAGCTTCTCTTACCTTGACCGGATTCAGAGATCCTTGAAAACCAAATCCAAGAAACTAATCTACCCTCTCCCAAACGCCATGGATGTAGAGGACGTTAGTTAAGCCGTTTGTTGAGATCTGTAATCCATGCTCTTCGATCTCTTATTCCACCAAAAGCCATGGGTTTGGAGGAGAGATTGAAGAAGGGAATCATACCACACGCCATGGATGAGTCTATTTAAGATTCTCAAGACTTAGGGATAGCTCAGCAATGAGTAGATCTATGTGTTTTCAAACCAAAGCTTGACTCTTGAACACTCTTGGATATGATCCTTAATCCTGAACCCTCTTTTAGCATTTTAAAACCTTTGTTTGTCATTCACTTGTCATAAAGTTGTATTCTTGATCATTAGAAGTCATTTGCTTTAAGTTGTTAGATCGATCTGTTCTACCCGATTCAGTGCTTGATTTTTAGTTATTAGTAGACTTGCATTTTAGTGTCTCTGTTTTCTTTTAGTAGTCGTTAACCCTCTTCCAGGGATTTTAAAATTGTTTTGCATTTCATTTGGTCATTGCATTTAATGTTCATCGATTTTACCAATCATTTACCCGATTTGCTTAGATTTGCTTTACTCTTGCTTTTCTAGTGTTCTTCCTGCTTCCTTGGTTGGATTGATACCCTTACTGATATACTACATCATTGTTGTGGTTTGAGATTTGATATTTCACCTTGATAACAAATCTGTTTATTAAGTAATCATCTTTTAGTTATAAAGCTTGCTTCTTTAGTCATTAGAAGTCATTCATCTAAGTTGTTAGAAATTTCCTGTTTATCTGCCTTTAGCTCTCGATTTTTAGTATTTAGTAGTTTTGCATTTTAGATTCTCTGTTTTCTTTTAGTAGTTTTTAACCCTTTTCCAGGGATTTTAATATAGTTTCCATGGTCATTCAGCACTTGCATTTAGTTTTTATCGATTTTACCATCTATTTACCCGTTTTTGCTTAGCTTTGCATTGCTCTTGTATTCCTAGTGTCTTTCTACAACCTAGGCTGGATTGATACTCCCTTACATTATACTACATCATTACTGTGGTTTGGGCTTTGATTCACAACACCAAAACATCTGTTTATCAAATGGTGCCGTTGCCAACTTGGGTTTGTTAGAAAGCATTAGGATTTGAAGTTTAGTGAAGACTAAGCCTTTACTTTTACTTTGGTTACTAATTGCCCTACCTTAGTACTTGTCTTCTTAGGTACATGAATCTGAGGTCTAGAGGCAACAACAACCTACTACAACCTCTCGACAATATTCATCAACTTGGAAGTGCATGATCAAGAAGAGCAAGAGAGCAAGCTCAAGCCTTTGAAGAAATTGTGCAAGCTGGTGCAGTTGACTATGAAAGTATGGCTGAGCAGGAACATCCTGAGGGACCTCCACCACCTCACGCTGCTGTTGGAAGGGGTAATGGAAACCCCAACCACGCTCCTAGACCACCACGGATCATTGGTGCTGGTGATGCTCCAAACACCCATCATAACCGCTTTGGGATCAATCCTCCACCAGTCCAAAACAACAACTTTGAGATCAAGCCAGGCTTTGTCTCAATGGTTCAGAACAACAAATTCCATGGGCTGGCTATGGAAGACCCTTTGGAGCATCTCGACAACTTTGAGCAAGTGTGTGGGATGATAAATATCAATGGGATCTCGGAAGATGCTTTCATGCTTAGGCTCTTCCCATTTTCACTTGGGGATAAGGCTAGACATTGGGAGAAGACTTTACCACAAGGTACTATCACATCTTGGGCTGATTGTAAGAAGGCGTTTCTCTTTAAGTTTTTCTCAAGCACAAGAACAGCTCGGCTTAGGAGTGAAATCAGCGGATTCACTCAAAGACAAAACAAGACATTCAGTGAAGCTATGGAGAGATTCAAGGATTACACTGTTGACTGTCCTCATCACGGCTTCAGTGAGGATACACTCTTGAGCACCATCTATAGAGAAGCTCTTCCTAAGATCAGAATGCTCCTAGATACGGCGAGTAAAGGGAACTTTCTTGGCCAAGATGTAGAAGAGGGAATAAAGCTCATTAAGAACTTGGCTTTGAGTGATGGGAACTACACTGAGGACTATGATCGAGCACCTAGAGGTTCTGAGCTTGAGTCACACAAGAAGAAGCTGAAATCTCTCCATGAAAAGATAGACAAGCTAGTACTTGCAAATCAGAAGCATGTACAATTTGTGGGTGAAGCTGAAGATGTTATAGAGGAGTTAAAGCTGAGCCAAGAAGAAGCTAATTGGGTTGGGGGACAGAACTACAACAAGCCACATGGTTATTATCAAGGCTACCAAGGCAACAACAACCTCTCTTACAGGAGTACCAACGTGGAGAATCCAAAGGACCATGTGTACCCTCCACAACAAGGCAAACCATTTGTTCCTTACAACAAAGGGTTTACACAAAGCAGTGGGTACCAAGGTCCAAGACAAGGGAACTTCCAAAGCCAGCAACAACAGCAAGGAAACAAGGGTTATCCTCCTGGTTCCATGCCTCAGCAGCAACAAGTTCAAGCTCCACCATTCATTCTTCCTCAAGATCCGGTTCAAGAAATGTTTCAACAGTTGCTTCAAGGTCAAGCTTCTACAAATCAGAAGTTTGTTGATATGAACAATAGGCTGAACTCTTCTCTTACTGAGGTGTCAACTCAAATCACCAACTTGAACAACAAGGTCAAACAGTTAGAGAAAGGAAAAGCCAGTTCAAGTGGTCAAGGCAGCTTACTTGGAAAGTGTGAGCAAAACCCCAAGGAGTATGCAAACGCTATTACCTTGCAAATCGGGAAAGCTACCCCCGAGGGCAGCACCTAAAAACAATGGGGACATTGTGGTTCAAGAGGGGGAGGGTAAGCTTTCAAATGATGAAGAGATCACCTTTGACAATGTGTGGATTGAAAGACCAAGGAAAGGCAAATACGCCGTTTTAGAAAAGAAAGTAGTGGAGGTGAGGAAAGAGAAAGATGCATTTGTACCTCCAACCTACAAACCGAAGCTTCCTTTCCCTGGACGGTTCAAGAAGCAGCTGGTTGAGAAGCATAGAGCAGTGTTTGAGAAGCATTTTAAAGATGTTGAGATCAAACTGCCCTTAGTTGATTGTTTGGCCATGATGCCTAAATGTGCCAAGTTCTTCAAGGATACTCTAACTAAGAGGAGCAAGGAGAGTGAAGAGGTTTTGGTGCTTAGTGAAGAGTGCAGTGCAATCATTCACAAAGAGATAGTCCCAAAGAAGCTTGGAGATCCAGGATCATTCACCATTCCTTGTGCGCTTGGACCATTAAAGTTTGAAAGCTGCTTATGTGATTTTGGAGCAAGCATTAATCTTATGCCTCACTCTATTGCCAAAAAGCTAGGCTTCACCAAGTTTAAAGAGTGCAGAATCTCTCTTCTGCTGGCTGACAGAAGTATAAGATTTCCTGTGGGTATGCTTGAAGACTTTCCCGTGAGGATCGGTGGAGTTAACGTGCCAACAGATTTGGTTGTTCTAGAGATGGATGAAGAGCCAAAGGATCCTCTAATCCTTGGAAGACCGTTTCTAGCAACCGCTGGAGCCATCATTGACGTCAAAAATGGGAAGATCTCTCTACACTTGGGCAAAGACATCAAGCTAGACTTTGATATTAATGAAGTTTTGAAGAAGCCAACCATTGGTGGACAAGCTTTCTACATTGAGACTTTGGATGAGTTAGCAGATGAGTTGCTTGAGGAGTTGGCACAAGAGGATTACCTACAGCTAGCTTTGACAAAGGAGTGTGGGGAGTATGGTTTCCTGAATGAGCAGACCCAGGAGTATGTTCACATCCTTGATTCTCGTAAGGTTGTGAAGGAAGATGAAGGCGGATGCCCAGAGCTCGACCAGGAAATCGAGGACTTCACTCGATCCCGGACAAGAATCGACAAGAAGATCAAAGAGGTTGGTCGATCCAGAAAAGAAATCGATGAGAGAATCGAGAGGGACAATTCGATCAGTTCAGAGAAGGACTCAGCGACTCGATCTCCTGCTCGATCCACATCAAATCAAGTAGGTGAATCGAGAGAGTGCAATCGATTCAGACCAGAACGAGAGGAAGATTGACCTAATGACTCGATCTCTGAGGAAGGAACGGTTCAAGATGGCAGCCTGAAAGCTCATGACTCGGGTTCAAAGGAGGCTCATGAGGATGGCAACGTCAACACAATCCACGAAGAGGACTGGCGCGAGCTGCTAGCCCCAAAGGTGGACCTAAAGGA